ACACTATTTCATTGATTAGTCACGGGTTCCCAGTCTCGAGCTGCCAGTTTTCAATAGCAATTGCAAGGCTCAGTCTTGATATTTCCGCTATGTCTGCATTGGCTTGTTCTGCTTCTTCTTCTTCTTCTGCCGCATCTCTTGCTGTTGTTGTTTAATTTTTTTCTTCTGGCTCTTCTTCGTCTACATGCCACCTGATTTATGTTGACGCCTTATCAGCGCCTTTCAATATTTATTGCAATTTTTAGAAATTATTTTTCGTAAAAATTCAACGCGTTCGGCACCCTTTAGCCGAGCCGCAAGATTTATATGTGAGCAGATGTAAGGCTTTGATGAAGATTTGCTCTCACTCTCTCTCTCTCTCTCCTTCACACACACATACAGTACACCTCAGTATGTGTGCGATTGCAATTTAAAAGTTGAACCACATCCACAGCATTCACATTCACAAAGTTGTGTTCTTTGTCGCTGCTGCTGCTGCGGCGCGACTCAGCAAACACCGAAAAGCAATTCTAACAGTTGTTGACCGTGCACCGCCGCACCACCGGCCCCGCCACGCAGCTTGTCGTGTTATTAACAATTTTTAATTTTCCGGTATAGATTTCTGAGCCACAAGTGCGACGATGCGACGTGTCTTCAGACTTGACTCTGACTCCTCTCGCTCTCGCTGCCCCCTCCCTCTCACTCTCTGTGTGCATTTGCTCCACCTTGTCGCCGGCTGCGCCTGCTCTGACTGTGGTTGTGACTGTGGCTGTGCCCGGAGACTGGTTGCATCATCAAAATGCATCTAACAAGGTTGTTAGGTGTTAAATAAGTGTGCTTAAAAATTTATCTTGTACATTTTCCTCCATTTGATTTATGTTTTGCGCGCCCCAGCCAAAGAAGTCAAATGAGTCGGCGGTGCTGTGGTGTGGTGCAGCGGTGCAACGTTATTTTTTTCTATTTTTTTTTAATGCTAGTCAGCAATGGAGACGGGCACTTGGCACTTGGTGGTGCTGTTAGTGGTGCTGGTGGTGGTGGTGGTGTGGCAGCTGTTGCAGCTGTCTGGCCACGGCCACGTTTCAACTTTGAGCCAGTCGCCTTTCGCTCAACGTGCCAGCGAACAAACTTTTGCTTTCGCCACAAAAACAAAGATCCGATCCCCAGCACCGAGTCGAGCTCCGTTTTGGACTCATTGGGCGCCCACTGCCATCTATTGATAAATCAAAATTCCAATACATGCGTACCGAGCAACGGGGCAAGGCGGTGCAAGATTTGCATTTGGCCGCCAGCTTCGGGCTGGACATGGAGCTGCAACCTGGAGCCTCTGGCTGGACTTGACTGTGACTGCAACAACAACAACAACGAGAACAACAATTGCAACGCCAAATGGCCAAAAACATGCGAAGCCCAACTGCAAGACAAGGTAACTAAGTATGCAAAAGCTCACTCAATGCTCAGCATGGCCAACAGCAGCAACAGCAACAACTACAACAGCAACAACAAAACCTCAACCTCAGCCACTGCCACTGCCACAGCGAACGTCACAACCACCGCGAATGCGTTTCTTGTGTTTGGCTAAAAAATGCCTTTTTGCTGTTTCTCTCGCTGCTGTTGTTGTAGTTGTTGTTGTTGTTCTTGCTGTTGTTGGCAGTTGCAGCTGCCACCCGCCGTCGTCCGTCCGTCCGGACAAAAATCTTGGCTTAGATGATGGATCGTTGCATAAACTCGTGAACGTTGCCAGCTCCACGGAATGCGCACGTCCTCACGTCGCCTAGAAATGTGCGTCGTCGTCGCATCTCTCCAGTTGACGGCCAAGGCAGGAGAGGCGGGCAGGAGAGTGGGAGCCGAGGCTAAAGCCAACGCATTCAAAGTGTCTGCGACAAAGCTAAAGGATTAGAAGCACAGAGAGCGCAGTTGTTGTCGTGCGTGACACGAGAACAGAAAGTGTGGGGCAAAAATCGAGAAATCCGCGTGGAAGCCTCAAAAGTTGTCATATAAGCAGATTGAGAGTTATCATAACCTTATATGATATATTTATACGATAGACGATATAATTACGATGATTCCTGTTGCTTTTTATTCGTGCTCTTCACGTAATTTTACAATTCAAATCACGCGCTCTTCTCTAGCAGCAGGGCCGCCGCTGA